TCTCCCGGAGTCGCCGTGGCGTGCTTCCCGCGGTTGCCTGTGCCTCAGAGAGCTTGTCCCGCGGGGGTAGGCGTAAGGGCGTGGGAGGGCGGCCGCTGCGCCTGTGCTGCTGCCTGCCGAGCTCGGGTGCCGCTGCCCCGTGGCTCTCACGCTCTGCGTGGGCTCGAACGGCTTTTTCTCTCCTTCAGTCCGGCTTGCAGAGCTTGTAGCGGAGAGGGGTGGTTTGGCTCAAAGCGTCCTGACGAAGCTGTGCTAGAAGAGCAGGCTGCCGCCTCAGAAAGTTTGAAGAGGAGGAGGAGGAGGAGGAGGTCTTCCGTGCATAGCGATGTAGCCCTGAAGGTAGAACGGCAGCTCGTGGAAGGCAGTTAAAACTCTTCACCGGTCTGATTCCAGAGCATGGGCTAAAAACTATGTCCCTCTCTCGTGTCGAAAATCCTTGTTTTCTGCTGTTTCTGTTTGTCTTCCAAGCAATATTTATCCTGATACTCTACCGAGGTGGACCTTCAAATGTGTTTCGTGGGTTTTTAGACTCGCATCAGATTCTGGATTACTCGAAAACTCATGATGTGTACACAAACCTCAGCTTGTTTACCCAAGCTCCTAGTGAAGAAGCTATGCTGTACTGCTCAGTGCAGTCACCAATATTTGGTAGGTATAAACTGGTAGTGTTTGAAACAGCTGCTTTGGTACGTGATAATGCTGAACACTTTTTAAGTTGTATGTTTTTCAAACTTTTCTGCTTTAAAAGTGGTATACTGATGTAATACGCTGACAAAACTTTCTGGTGTTAATTAACTCATTTTTATTGGTTATACGAGGAAAAGTATTTTACTGACCTAAAAAATTCCAATATTAAGGATTTGGCTACATAGAGATTGTAGAACATGAGTGAAAACAGTGCATGGTGTTGATAACAAGTTTGTAACACCTTTTTTTCTTGGTGGTCCTGTATAAAATGTGCCAACGGTTGTACTTTGGTAACCATGTAATTTTGACCTCTAACTCGCTGTAACTCCTGGGTTCTTTGTCTCAGCCTTATATCAAGCCTGTAGTTCAATATAAATTGATTGTTGGCTTTAAATATCGTTTGTATGAGAATGTAGCTTGGCACCTTGCTCTTCATGGTGATCTTTTTGGCCTGTCATTTATGTGTCCTTTAGATGTAGAAACTTCTCCTTTAGATTTAAAAGTCTGGTCACAGATTAATTTGTATTCACACTAGGACCAAATTAGAGCTGATCCTAGAAGCAGCATTAATCCAGCTACTGCACTACTAAAGCAGTTGAGAAACTTTAAGTAAAAACAAAGTCAAACTCATAAAACAAGTTTGTTGGTAGTAATGTTACCGTAAGTCGGCAGATGAGGAACTCTCTAAGACTCAATTTGGAGTTTTAGAAAGCAGGCATTCTTTATTGCGGTGCTGGGTGCAAGGTGGAATTTCCACAAATCAAGCACACCTATGGCTAGATCAC